TGCTGAGCACCGGTCTTGGGGGGCTTGTTTAACGTCTGCCCCGAGTCCATAGTGTGTGGTGTTGCCAGAGGCTGTGGGAGGAAGCAGGAGACCTGCCGTGGCGGGTGGGGAGGAGAGAAGGTGCCCTGGGCTCGGGCCTACTCACAGATAGGCTGGGACGTCCACAGTCCAGGGAGAGGAGGGCTGCTGCTGACTAGCCGCCTGGCAGGGTTTGCAGCAAGGCCATCATGGGGCCCCCTGCAGTCCCAGAACTCACAGGCAGGGGGAGCCACGAGGCGCAGCCCAGCCCTGAGGCTTTACCCAGAGCCAAGATGCCCACCGGTCTTGTTCCAGCAGGGTCCACCCAGAGAGGCCCCTGCATGACCCATTCGGGCTTCTACCCTGAGAGTCCTTTGTCAGGCAGCGCCTCCTGGGCCCCTCCACCCCTGCAGTCCCCTCATCGCCTGCGTCTCTGGGGCACTTCCTTGGTGCCAAGCATGTGGCATTTCTCCCACTGTTTCAGGGCATCTCTCAAGAACGTGCTCGGGTTGCCTTTACCAAGAAGCCAGTGGTCCTGCTTCCCCGCAGCCTTTCCTCCCCAGCTCCCCTACAGCTGCCAGACTCCTGCTGGGCATCCCTGCTCCCTGGCACTGCCCGGGCTGTCCTTGCAGTGCTCGCACGCCTGATGGGCTTGCTGCTGGAGTTCAGGCTGCGAAGGCTGTTTCCGTCCAAACGGATCCTGATCCGCACAAGGCACACCTCTAATTACGGTTGCATGAAACTGAGGCTGTGGGCCACTGGGGGGAGTAGGATGCATGGGGCTGCCTTTCCCATCAAGTGAGGGTCCCTCCGGAGTTTCCGTCTGCATCCTCTCCTCTGCATCCTGTCCTGTGACTGCGCTCGCGCCTGGCCTGTTCTAGACTCTGGCCTCCGCTCCACCTGTTCTTGCCCACACCCGCCGTGGCAGACCTAGAGCGAATCTCATCCTTGGCCCTCCGGCCACTGCCCTGGTGCTCCTCCGCTGATGCTCGAGGCCTGTAGGTAGACCAACCTGGCTCAGGGCCCCAAACCGAACCTCAGACTCGCCTTGGCCCCGGCTCTGCCCTGAGGGCCGCGGTCGCTCTGCCCTCTGCCCCTCACCTTTTCAGGGTTCCCGCTGGCTTTTCCTTCAGCCCACCGTCCACTCCACGGGGTGCACCTGGGCCTTGTCCCGGCTCGACCTTGACCTTCCTGCCTCCACCCCGGTCCATTCTGGGGTTCTTCTGAACCCAGCTGCCCCCTGCCTGGACTCAGCATCTGGTCTGCACTGACACAGCTGAGAGTGGGCGGTGGGTCAGGCAGACCTGGGTTCAAGTCCTCACTCAGTGGCGGCTTCCTCCCGCGCTTGGCTCCCTGGGGTCGAGTTCTCGCCATTCGTGAGCTAATGCTCTTGCTGAGGTCTGGGTGCAGTGGGTGGGGGCAGGTCCCTGAGCCAAGCTGAGGGACCTTGAGGTCTGCAAGCTGAGCCTCTTCCCCTGCCAGTCACACTGGTCCAGTGCTGTCAGGTACTTGATTGCTTGGAGTGGGGACAAGACCTGGCTGATGACCTGAGCCCAGGAGCTTCCTGTTCCCAACGTCGGGAACACAGCCACTGGCTCCCTAGGGTCTCATGAAGATTCTTGGGGGTCAGGCATGTACACTTGCCCAGCCGCGGAGTACCGCTCGGTAAGTGTCGGCTGGGATGCGGGTGAGGTGATTATCGACGTTATTGTCAGGCATGACCCTCTTTTCTCTGACACCCCAATTCATTACTCCAGCAGTCTCCCTCCACCCCAACCGCCTCCTCATTTTCAAAACAATTCCCATGGCCTCTGAGAAAGTTCTCATTGTTTATGGTTTTTAAAAAATAGGCATTCAAAGCAAATTCCTCATTTGTTCCCCCTCCTTCCTCCAAATTGGAATCTGGACGGACTCGACCTCATTCCAGGAAAGGGGTGCACAGGCCGGGCGGGGGGCTGGGCTGCCATCGCTGAGATGGGGCAGGCTGGTGGGGCAAGGGCCGGCAGGTGGTGAGGCAGCTCCCATATGGGAGTCCAGTGGTTCGAGTGCTGGATCCAGCGGCTTAAAAATCATGCCAGGGGTGAGCGTGCGTGCCCAAAATCCTGAGAGGAGAACGGAGGGGAAGGGACTGTGGCGTGCCCCTCTCCCTGGGGTGATTTCTCTCTCTCCCTCTCTGTCTCTTTCCAGTGAGCGCATGCGCCCTATGGCAAAAAACTAAAAAAAAAAGTGGGGGGGCAGGCTGGGCCCCGGAACCTGGTGTGGCGTGTGGCATACACTCCCAGCTCTCCTCTCTGGACACCCTCTCCTGGCTGGGCCCCAGGACTGCATCTCCACTGCACTACTCACTAACCCTGATTGTATCCCCACCCCCGGCTTCACCGAGTCTCAGCGTTCTCCTCATAAAGCGGGAGTTCATGGCCCTGCCTCACAGAGCTAGGGAGGGGATTCAGTAGGCTCCGTTCCAGCCAGGTGCCTCCATACCCAGAGACGGGCCGCAGGCGTGGCGGGGTAATCCTAGTAGCCCCTCCTCTGAGAAGTAACCGGGTCTAAGCGCCTGTCCAGACGGCAGGGTCTGCCCGTCGGTGTATGTGGGGGAAACGGAAACCGGAGGCCGGACTCACATGTGTGCCCGAGTCCCACAGCGAGGGGGGATGGAGACGGGCTGCAGTCTGAGCACGCCCCGCTGAGGCCGCGGCCCCGTCTCCCTCCCTCTCTGACAAGTGCACAAGCCCTCCGGCAAATAAAGAGACTGCCTCAG